GTGATACCAAGGAATTTGATTCTATGTTGGAAAGTTGATAACTAATATTTAAAGTTTTGAGTCTTTTGGTTGGAATTGTGCTGAAGACAGTCAGCATTGCACTGTTAAATCTAGAGAATATATGAGAAATGATATCATAAAGTCATATTTGAGTATAAATTAAGATATGCATAGAAACGGGGTATCCGCTACACGGTATGCTGTCATGTACTAGTATCTGCCTAGGAGTTTTACTAAATATTTGCAATGATACTTAGTCTTATAGGAATGGAATATCTTCAGTAAAAGGTTTGCATCATTTTCTGTAATAGCTTTCTATTGTTCTCAGAGGCAGTAACTGTTGGTGACCATGGGTCAAATGCAGTTCATGAGTTAATAAGTGAATTTATGGTGATTGGTGATAGATAGTGCATTATTATATTTTAGGTCATCCCTGCATTCTGAATCGCTGAAGGGACGGTCAGTATGAATTTTCAAGAACCAATTTCTTGCATTTTGTGTAGAAAATCACAACATTACTTGGATTAAACTTTTGCATTGGACTTATAATCTAGTTGGAAGCATCTCCAATTAATTTTAATTCGGTTCAATATGTGTAGTCGTGGAACAAGAAGTTTGTATACCACTTTGATGTGTTATCATTTTTTATTTTTAAAATAAAAATCCAGAACTGCAGAGTCCATTATCAAAAACCATTGTGTCACCAGAAAAAATTGTAATTCCGTTCAGCATGTATATCTGATCTTCGTGTGTATAGAACAGTACAAGCTAAGATATGTTTGCATCATTTTGTATCAACTGTACAAACTTTTTTAAAAGGTCTTAAGTAAATTGAATATTCACATGAGTTCACATGGTCTGGGTTTCTTCATCTTTTGTTGTTGAATAACTTGAATTAATTGATGCTTCCTTTTCAGAATAGTTCGTTTCAAGAGTTGTTGCCTCATGTTAGACAGCATATCATTGATGGTTTCAGTCCCAAGGCACTTGATATTTTTCAAAGAGAATTTGATTTCTTTGACAAGGTTACATCTATTTCCGGTGTACTCTTTCCGCTTCCGAAGGAAGAACGCCGAGCTGGTATCCGGAGGTATACTTGTAATGTGTGGAATTTTTTCTATAAAAATGGTCTTTGGATGCTTGAGCTCATAATTTATAAATATACACACACATAAGCACATGTGTGCATATAGTGTGCATATATGTGTGTGTCTGTGTATGCTGTTGATGCTAATATGCAATCTGCTTAAACAGAGAGTTGGAGAAAATTGAAGTTGAGGGAGAGGATCTCTATTTGCCAACTGCTCCTACCAAGCTTGTAAGGGGAATTCAGGTAGATAGTGGAATACCCTTGCAATCTGCAGCAAAAGTTCCTATAATGATAACATTTAATGTTGTCGATCGGGTTGGGGACCGCAGTGATGTAAAACCACAAGCTTGTATTTTCAAGGTAAGCTTATCCACTTACATCTCAAATTGATTAGACCCATGTATGGTTGAAAGGCTGCTTATGTTGTTTAGTTTGTACTATGGGATATGATGGATAAAGAAGTTACATGATGCAGACAATTAGTCTCAGGATTTTTAAACTTGTGACCTCTTATTTATTCCTATGAAAATTTGAAATATTAGAAATGTTCAAGTTTTTTCTTATTTCATGGCTTAACGGAGCTCCCTTTCTTGAAGGTTGGAGATGATTGCCGCCAGGATGTTCTTGCTCTTCAAGTGATTTCCCTGTTGAGAGACATATTTGAAGCAGTTGGAATTAATCTTTATTTGTTTCCGTATGGTGTTCTCCCAACTGGCCCAGAGAGAGGCATTATTGAGGTTTGGATCTTTGTCAACTACTTTTTAGGGTCCTGCATGCCTGCTATTTTGCTGAGAGATCTTATTCTTCAATTTACACGATTCCATGTGAAGCTTTAGATTTTACAGTCCAGTTCATTTTCCAGTTTCATTATTTGGGTGTGCTAGGCAATGTTCAGACTACTTTTTTTATATGAGAAACACAGGTTTTATTGATAAAAGAGATACAATGTGGCGGATAAAGTGTCCCCTGAATGAACACACGGTTATTCACATCTAACAAGGTTCTGGCTACATTTGATTTATTTCTTTTAATGATTTGGCTTTGGCATATAGTTAAATACTACAGTATTTGTAGAAAGCAGTTGAAAAAAATGTGTCTTTCCTTGAAGCTAGCTGTTGCCTAATGTATCAGCAATGGTTTTTAAGAATCTTATCCGGATAATATTTTGTTTTTATCTGCCTCATGAACATAAAAGGAAGAAAATAGTGGAGCCGCTTTTTCCATTTTATATTATCCTCCAACTAGTTTGTAAACTAAAACATTTTTGCTGTCAGAAGAGAAATCGGGGATCAAGTCTTTTCCTGCCACGAGGCTAGGCCCAATGGTTGTTTGAGGGATTTGAAGGGCTGCAATATTTTTCTTGTCTGTTTGGTAATCTACTGGTGGAAAGTCTCTTTGTTTTTGTGCTTTGGTACAAAATTTTCTGAAGTAGGGGTCAAATCTGGATATTTTAAGCATGGGTTTTAGATTGATTGCCTACAACTACTTTCATCAAGGTTTTATGTGTTTATGCTGGAATAGCACAAGTTATAGACATTTTAAGGCTCAAGCCAACCAAAAGTAGAAACTCCAACATCGATTGTATCACTTAGCCAATTAATATTGAATTTTGATTTACTAGACATTCATATCTTCAGCTCTACTGTGTGAATTATGAATGCAATTGCATCGAGTGGTAGATTCGAAAGGGTAATCTGACGTTGTAATTTCCATTCCAAGGAATGTCTTAAGTTGGGTGATATGATCTCCCCAAGCTTCTTCCCTTGAGCTAAATGGCTGATTATAGTAGTACGGGCACATTTGGTTTCTTTCGTAATATATTTTTTTATTGCAGGTTGTACCTAATGCACGGAGCAGAAGTCAGATGGGTGAAACTACGGATGGTGGTTTGTTTGAGATTTTTCAACAGGATTATGGACCTGTTGGGTCTGCCAGCTTTGAAGCTGCCCGCGAAAACTTCATCATTAGTAGTGCTGGTTATGCAGTTGCCAGCCTTTTACTTCAACCAAAGGATCGACACAATGGGAATCTTCTGTTTGACAAGTACGATCTTCGAACCAGCCTTTTACTTTTTTATTTTCTTATTTGTTCTTTTTTGTCAAATTTGTGTTTGGAAGGACTGAGAGACGTAGGCACCCAGCACATATGGTACAAGCATAGCAAACTCAAAAACTGACCTTCAAACCACTCATGTATTATTAGCCACTTCCAAATGCTATACTTGAAACATGTAAGGTATACAATTTGTGAAAGTAAGGATTGATCTGAAACTGATGTCGACATGCCTGCTAATGCAGCGTGGGAAGGCTTGTTCATATTGATTTTGGTTTCATCTGGAAACTTCACCGGGTGGAAACATGCGCTTTGAAAGTGCACACTTTAAGCTCAGCCATGAGATGACACAATTATTAGACCCTTCTGGGGTTATGAAGAGCGATACATGGAACCAATTTGTGAGGTAGGAAGGGGTTTGTCCCTTTTGGTTTCTTTTTCCTCACGATGTTTCTGGATAATATTTTTATGTTGATTCTTTTTGGCTAGAAGTTTAAACGTGTGTTACGTTCTATGTAAACCATCCACAGCTTGTGCGTTAAAGGGTACCTTGCTGCCCGCCGATACATGGATGGGATCATCAACACAGTGTCGTTAATGCTAGACAGTGGGTTGCCTTGCTTCAGCCGCGGTGACCCTATTGGAAATCTTCGTAAGAGATTTCATCCAGAGATGAGTGAGCGTGAGGCGGCCAATTTTATGATCCATGTGTGCACAGATGCCTACAACAAATGGACGACCGCTGGGTACGACTTGATACAGTATCTGCAGCAGGGCATCGAGAAGTAAAAAGGAGATGTTTGGAGCTTGTTTTACAAATGTACATGATATGCCTGTAGTGTTATAGTAATTTTCGTCGTCGTAATTTTTTTACGGAGGAATCTCCACTTTATAGTGTTGAGAGGACTCTTGGAGAGGCGTGAAATCGAAATCATTTTATTCTATGGATGGAGATCCTCGTGAGGTTTGTAAAAATACAGTTTGTAGTTATTATTTTATTAATGGAGTTCAAACTCTGTTGCTTCCAGGTTTTAAAGATGCAAACGAATTAGGGAAGTTGCAGACGGTGCTTTACTGCAGTTGCAGTAAACAAAAATGCCTATGCATTTTGGTGTGGGCTCAATTCTCACCGATCTCTCTCACTCCTACCATTTAGCAATTTACTCACCGATCTCTTTATGAATCCAAGTCCATTGAACTGGAGCTAAGGATGAAGATAACCTCCAAATCTCCTCCGTAGTAGGGTAAATTTTGCATGTGCTTTTTAACTGACTTCTTCAAGACAATAACTTTGGAATCACTTTCAACATGATGTTCTGCAAATCCATGTCTTTATCTAATACCTGCCTTGAAAGTGCTTCCTCTGCCTCAGTTTCCTTAACAGATGATCTGAGGAGATGGCAGCGTTCGCCTCCCAAAAGGATCCCTCCCAATCTCGTATGACAACGCCCAGGCCAGCCTCGCAAGATGATCTCCATTCACCATCTACATTTATTTTAACAAAAGCGGGTGTGGGAAGGGTCCAAATGGCATTTCTTCTTGTGGTAGCAGAAGCTCTCGTCTCTCTGCAATGATGCTCAAGCCTCTTCGCTACAGAGCGGGAGATGATCCCTTCAGCGTAGCTGTGGTATCAGGGTCCTTCCTGAACATAAGCATTGCACCTTTCCTTCCATATCTCCTAGCAAATAACACCCACCATGATAAGAAAATGATCCCTTTATGTTGTACTCTTTTCTAAGTTGGTCAAATATTGATATATTTAAGTAGATCGTAGTTTTACGATGAGTGCAAAATGATCTCAAGTTCAAACCAAACATTTCTTGGTCCAATGTTTAAAGAGTTTCAACTTAATGATACAAACAGCAAAATACAAAGTAGATTGATAATACGAAAACACTGGCATGAATGCTCGACCATACTACCACAACTTGGTGATGGATCGTTATTTTACACGCACGATACGGTATGATACACAGAACCAAGATCCAACAGAATCGCTACGTACTCAGATAGCTGATGTTGCAGGTGATGGGATCCAAACTAGATGATTTTCCGGCAAGAAATGGCAAACTGGAGATGAAGCGCTAGCTTTAATTCCAAGAAGGGCAAACAAGTCGTGGGCAGGGTCCCAATCAGAAGTGTCCATGTGGCAAACAGCTACAGCTTGAACCTTATCACCATTCTCACCTCCAAGTTTAACCTTGAAGAACTTGGTGTCTCTCTCAAAATGGTGGCAGAAGAACACTGCATAAGGATAGGCCAATGGATGGCAAAAAACCATTTTGGAAGCCAAAACTTGTTTAGGTTCTTCTAAGATAGTGTACCTTTGTGTGATGGATGTTGATGTTGTGGGGTGCTCGGTTGAGAGAATGTTGAAGCGAACACCTGAACCGATGATCTTGGTAACAAAATTTGTCATGGACTCCAGTGAAGTGGCACAAAACTTCGTCTCACCCGTGATGGGTTTCATCTCACATTGTTCAAGTGCATATGCGACATTCTTCGCTTCTTGAGAACCTTGTGGGATTGAGAAGAGTTGACGAATTTGTGGGATATGTGGTGTTGAGAATGGGATGGAATCAGCTACTTCTTTAGGCAGGAAACGAGAATGTTCTTGGTTGGGAAAGTGGAGAGGCATTCTCATACCGCAGTGTAAATCATCGAACGTGAAAAATCCTTGCTTGGATGCTTCATTGTGATCCATGTGAGGTTGAGATTGTGGATGCATATGAATATGAACATGCTCATGAGAAGGCTCAACTTCTTCTGTTCCATAACTCATTTTGTAAGGAGTCTCGACTTCTTCTTTGGCTGCATAACTCATTGTGTAAGGAGTTTTAACTTCCTTTTTGCTTTCCTTAGTTGCATAATTCATTGTGTACGGAGTCTGGACTTCTTCTTTGGTAGCGTAACTCATTGTATAAGGAGTCTCGACTTCTTCTTTGGTTGCATAACTCATTGTGTAAGGAGTCATAGCTCCTTTTCTGCCTCCATAATTTGTTATGTAATTGGGAATGTCCTGTAGTTAAAAGTTAGTTATGTAAGGATCATATGATTAATCTTAGTAATGTATAAAATTACTTGTGTCTTCATTTACCTCCACTTCTTTCATGCTTTTTGTAGCTCCAATTCCCTTTCTACCTTGTTTGTTTCCATAATTTGTTATGTAATTGGGAAGGTCCTGTAGTTAAAAGTTAGTTAAGGGTCAAGTGATGAATCTTAGTAATGTATAAAGTTAGTTGTGTAATCACTTACCTCCACTTCTTTCATGCTTTTTGTAGCTCCATTTCCTATTATGCCTTGTTTGTTTCCATAATTTGTTATGTAATTAGGAAGGTCCTGTAGTTAAAATTTAGTTATGTAAGGATCATGTGATCATAATCTTAGTAATGTATGAAGTTCGTTGTGTAATCACTTACCTCCACTTCTTTCATGCTTTTTGTAGCTCCATTTCCTATTATGCCTTGTTTGTTTCCATAATTTGTTATGTAATTAGGAAGGTCCTGTAGTTAAAATTTAGTTATGTAAGGATCATGTGATCATAATCTTAGTAATGTATAAAATTACTTGTGTCTTCACTTACCTCCACTTCTTTCATGCTTTTTGTAGCTCCAATTCCTTTTCTGCCTTGTTTGTTTCCACAATTTGTTATGTAATTAGGACTGTCCTGTAGTTAAAAGTTAGTTATGTAAGGATCATGTGATCATAATCTTAGTAATGTTTGAAGTTCGTTGTGTAATCACTTACCTCCACTTCTTTCATGCTTTTTGTAGCTCCATACCCAATTTTGTATTGTTGTTTAACTACATCCCTTGCTCCAGTGGCATAACGACACTGCTTTAGAATAACAAGAAATATGATTTTTTTCTTTCTATATATCCATTTATTTTTTCTATATATCTTGAGCCTCGAGATTCATTTTAACAAACAATACAATATTTACAAAAATACATTTAATAATAGGTTATAAACTCACATAAAATATGTGCATACAATTACTAATAGATCAAAAGTTAGTTGGTAACTTATATTTATAATTGAGATGAGAATAAACCTCAGCGATATATATGGTTAAAATTTACTATGCTCTTGGAGTACTGTCTATAAAATGGTTAATAAACAAGTACATATTCACATATTCAAGAAACTCGAGAAATAAAGTTTCTGACTCAGTGAATCCTGTTAAAACGAAAAGAGGAAAAAATGAAGACCTAATGTTGCTGCTGATCACTCTTTATTTATTTATTTATTTTTGTATATGGCTATAGGGCTTAAATATGAAGGTTATTTTGGAATGTTCTGTTCTATTAATCAAGACCATAGGCTTTATCCGTTTTCATTTTTATTATTTGCAAATAAATTTTCAATGGAAAATTTGAGACAAATAAAAATTATAAATATTAGAAATTATATTTCATGAAATATTTATAAATAGAAACTGAATTACCGAACGCTAGTTGGAAAACCTGAATTAAAAATCTCTCTTTTTTTTTTTTTTTTGAGAAAATCTAAGTTGTTTTTTTTAGATTTAGTACAGTTGTAACGTACCTACCTATATTTAATAAGATTACAAAATTTTGTAAGAGAAATATATTTAACGTAAAAATGAATACAACATAGTGCATAGACAAAAATGAATACAACAGTTGCCTATAACAGTTAACAAAAATTTCTGTTAATAAAACCAGAAATAGGTGGGGATTAAACCCACACCATAGTGCATAGATATGATTACTTTCCGTTACTATGATAATGCGCCATCTGCATGAAATTAATTAAGATAGAACAGTAGGACGCTTTGGTGAGGTGTTAAAGGTATTACCAAAACAAACAGAAGACAAAAGATGATGAATCGAGAGGCCATATTTCTCTACTTTGAGATTTTTCTCCTCGTACTCCTAGTGAGGGTGTTTAAGGGCTTTTTATAAGCACTGAGAGGTTTCACTGGTATTAATTTATTTTAATTTAATTGATAATCATTCTTATCTGAAAGGATAAATATAATGCAACCATAGGCATGACTTGACATTTCCCCCCTTATTCGGTGGTCGTATTTTATAAGTAAATAATGATGGCAACTAATCACACTCACAGAGATTTAAAAAAGACCATACTTTGGGAACTATATGATGGGAAATGTAAAGTGTCTTTGAATGAGTATTCTTTATTAGTAAAAAAATTCTTTAATGGATATGATATAAAAAGGAAAAATTACATATAAAGTATACTTTTAATACTTAATTTCATATTGAGACAACACTTTTTAAACATTCCAAGGAGAGACAAAAATTAATATATGTAGAAGACAACATCAATTACGCTTTTTTTTCTAAAATGTAAGTTACAAAAATACCCTTTATCTTTAGCATCTTTTCACACTTCTTTTTCTTGCTCTCTTCTCTCTCTTTCTCCATTTGTCTCTTTCTCTCTCCCTTTCCGTTCCCCATTTCACCAATTTCATGCAGTAAACAAACAGCCAATATCGGCATAGCATGAAAAGGATAAATAAATTTAATTTCACCAAAAACAAACAATTGAGTTTTTCAATTCAGCAAAAATACGCAATTGAGTTACTAAATTTTCAAAATTAAAAAAAAAAAAGGTTAAAAAAACACATATGGGTAGGAGAGAGAGCGTGGTGAGCATTGAGAGCAACAGAGAATTTGTCATCTTTTAACGAAATTGTAGAATTGAAAGCACCACTACAGCCACCACCATTTCTTCTAACAATATTAATAATAATTTATTACCCACCACTTCTACCCCAAATGAGGATTCTCCAAAATCTGTTCTTTCCAAATGCCCAGGTACTTTCACGACTTCTTTCCCCATATAAGAAAATTTAACAAAAACACGCACATGCACATATGTTTTACATACTACTATGATCCATATAAAGAACAAAATAAATAAATAAAAGAATTATTAATTTTAACTTTTTAGGTTTTCTTTTGGAATGTAACTACGAAATTACAAATTGAACCTAAGAAGTAGCTGATGGCATGGTGGTGCATGGCGAGGTTGATGTTACTAAGCTTATGATTGAAGATAAGAAGCAGTGGATGGACAACATATTAAACATTATTGAAGAAGTAATGAGAAATTCCTCGAAAGGCTTAGAGATAAAACTGACATGTTTTCGTGTCTCTTCTCTTGGCTACTATTTTTTGAACCCTTGTGTTTGAAGTAGTGAGGAAATGAAAGAAAACATAGGGAAGTGTATATATATATATATTTTTTTTTTTTTCTATTAGAACAGTGATTTGATTTAATCTAAACGAAATTATTGGGAGGAGGATTCGACAGGTTGGACTGATAACATGTATATAGTTTTGTTGAAAATATACAAACTGGTTCTACTAAAAAAAAGTGTACAAAACTAATTCTACATGTGTTTGAAACTGATTCTGCAAAAATGGTCGATGACTGGTTAAACTGATTCTATGAAAATGCTCGATGACAGATTGAACTCATTATGCAAAAATGTCGAAGAAGGGTTGAAGTAATTCTACAAAAATGATAGAAGATGGGTTGAACTGATTTTTTGCAAAAATGGTCGATGACAGATTAAACTGATTTCTTAAAAATGGTTGAGGACATGTTGAATTAATTCTGCAAAAATGGTCGAAGACGGGTTGAGCTGATTCTGCAAAAATGGAATTGAACTGATTATGCAAAAATGGTCGTGGACAGGTTGAACTGATTCTAGTAATAAAGGATACCAATTGATTCTACATATGTTTCAAAATGGATTATGTAGAAATAGTCGATGATGGGTTGAGCTTATGACATTTTTGCAGAATCAATTCAACCCATCTTCTACCATTTTTGCATAATCAGTTCAATCTGTCCTTGACAATTTTTGATGAATCAGTTCAATCAATTCTCGAGCATTTTTGCAGAATTAATTCAACACGTGTTCGACCATTTTTTCAGAATCAGTTTCAAACACATGTAGAATTAGTTTTGTATACTTTTTTTAGTAGAACCGGTTTCTATATTTTCAACAAAACTATATACATGTTATCAGTCCAACCTGTCGAATCCTCATCCCAATAATTTTGTTTAGATTAAATCAAATCACCGTTCTAATAGAAAAAATATATATACTTCCCTATGTTTTCTTTCATTTCCTCACTACTTCAAACACAAGGGTTCAAAAAATAGTAGACAAGAGAAGAGACACGAAAACGTGTCAATTTTATCTCTAAGCCTTTTGAGGAATTTCTCATTGTCTTCTTCAACAATGTTTTATATGTTGTTCATTAACTGCTTCTTATCTTCAATCATAAGCTTAACATCAACCTCGCCATGTACCACCATGCCATCAGCTACTTCTTATCTTCAATTTGTAACTTTCGTACTTACATTCCAAAAGAAAACCTAAAAAGTTAAAATTAATAATTCTTTTATTTATTTATTTGTTTTTATTTTTTTGTTCTTTATATGGATCATAGTAGTAATAATGTAAAACATACGTGTATGTGCGTGTTTTTGTTGAATTTTCTTATATGGGAAAAGAAGTCGTGATAGCACCTGGGCATTTAAAACGAACAGATTTAGGGGAATTCTCATTTGGGGTAGAAGTGGTGGGCAATAAATTATTATTAATATTGTTAGAAGAAATGGTGGTGGTTGTGGTTGTGCTTTCAATTATAACATTTCATGAAAGATGACAAATTTTCTATTTGTTCTCAATGTTGACCAAGCTCTCTCTTCTACTCCAAATGTTTATTTTTAACTCATTTTTCTTTTATTTTGAAAATTGGATACCTCAATTGTTTTTTTTTATTCAACCCTAAACCCTATTAATATATGCTATAAGCCTAACCCATCCTTGACTATTTCTGCAGAATCAGTTTTGAAACATATATATAATCAGTTTATATCTTTTATTACTAGAATCAATTCAACCTATCCTCAACTATTTTTGCAGAATCAGTTCAACCCGCCTTCGATCATTTTTTTGCAAAATCAATTCAAGCAGTCCTTGACCATTTTTGTATAATCAGTTCAACTCGTCTTCGACCATTTTTGCATAATCAGTTCAACCTGTCTTCAACTTTTTTTGCAAAATTAGTTCAACCCATCCTACACTATTTTTACATAATTAGTTCAACTTGACTTCGGCATTTTTGCAGAATCAGTTCAATCAGTCCTTGAGCATTTTTACATAATCAGTTTAACCCGTCCTCGGCCATTTTTGCTGAATCAGTTCAACACGTGTTTGATCATTTTTGCATAATCAGTTTCAAATACATGTAGAATTAGTAAATTTGTATACTTTTTTTAGTAGAAATAGTTTGTATATTTTAGTAGAATCAATTTGTATATTTTCAACAATACTACATATATGTCATCAGTCCAACCTGTCGAATCCTCCTCCCCATAATTAGTTTAGATTAAATCACATCACCGTTCTAATAGAAATATATATACTTTCCTATGTTGTCTCTATTTCCTCACACAATGGTTCAAAAACTAGTAGACAAGAGAAGAGACACGAACGTGTCATTTTTATCTCTAAGCCTTTTGAGGAATTTCTCATTATCTTCTTCAACAATGTTTAATATGTTGTTCATCAACTGCTTCTTATCTTCAATCATACGCTTAGTAACATCAATCTCGCCATGCACCACCATGCCTTCAGCTGCTTCTTATCTTCAATTTGTTACTTTCATAATTACGTTCCAAAGCAGAACCTAAAAAGTTAAAATTAATAATTCTTTTATTTATTTATTTATTTTATTTTTTTGTTGTTTATATGAATCATAGTAGTAGACTGTATTGTAAAACATATGTGCATGTGCGTGTTTTATTGAATTTTCTTATATGGGGAAAGAAGTCATAAAACTACCTGGACATTTGGAAAGAACAGATTTTGGGGAATCCTCATTTGGGGTAGAAGTGGTGGGCAATAAATTATTATTAATATTGTTAGAAGAAATTGTGGTGGCGCTTTCAATTGTACCATTTCATTAAAAGATGACAAATTTTCTGTTGCTCTCAATGCTCACCACGCTCTCTCCTACCCATAGTCTAAAATATCCATAATATTTCGATATTTCCATTGAAATTTCTGTGTTTTTGGACTACCGATATTTCCGATATCATCGATATTTTAGACCTTGCTAAGTCACTCATGTATCTTACTATGCAATGTATAAAGTGTAAAATATTGTACTAATTCATTGTATATAAATGATTATGGTGGTTTAAACTTCTTTAATTAATTACTACATATTTTCTACGCTCACAATGTTTGCCAGCTCGCTATATAATCAACTCAAATAAGTTATATCTATCATGCAATGCATTTCCTTCCAATTTTTTGTGATAAACTAATAGATAATTGACTAAATAAACATCATGCAAAGTTTCAATAAAAATTTCCAAGTTTTTCTTACAATTTCCGTGGTTTTTATTCAATTTTTATTGATATCGATAATATTCCGATATTTCCATCGAAATTTCTGTGTTTTTGGACTACCGATATTTCCGATATCATCGATATTTTATACCTTGCTCCTACCTCAGATGTGTATTTTAACTCTTTTTTTTTTTTTTTTTTTTTTTTTCTAGTTGGTTACTATGATAGTTAATAGTCTTTGTTAATGAAATTAAGATTCCATGAGTGACGAAGAAAGGATGGCATGTGCTTTTAGCTACATATTCATATGCGCAAAAAACATCCCAGCTTCTTGGCTCAACGTCAACTCTTCAATAATGTTATTTTTTACAAGCAAATAAACAACTTAGAGAAAAAAAAATAGTTATAACTTATACAGACTTGTTCTCTTAGATCTTAGTGTTCAAGGAAATTATGGTCATCTACCGTTCGATCTTAATCCAATGGTAAGTAGTCATTTAATATTTATTGTATTTTGT